GCGGGCCCGGCTGGCTCCGTGGGTGCAGCGCGCAACTCTCTTGGTCTCAGGGTTGTGAGTTCGAGCCCCAGTTAGGTGTAGAGCTTACGTTAAAAAAAAAATCTTAAGAACAAACAAAAAAGATGGGGAAACTGAGGTCCGGAGGGAAGAAATGATGTGTCCACCGCCGCGTGTGGGTGGGATTTGGACATGAGCTGTGACTTCCACCGCCTCCTGTCCTCCCTGCCTCCCCGACCCCACCCTGCTCAGTCAGCTAGGGAGGCCCGGGAGGGGCGGAGATGGCCTGGGGGGAGCGGACGGTGGGAACGAGGCCAGGCTCAGGATGTGCCCCCCGTGGCTGTGGTTTCCGGTGGGGGCCAGGAAGGGAGTGTCTATTCTTAGCCTCCACAGCCAAGGGCGGAAAACGACCCGGTGGTGGGGGGTGGGGGCAGCTTAACGCCCCGGGGGGACCCTGGGCCAGGGTGGGGGCCACGGTGCCTCCCGTCTGCCCGAAGCGCCTCCCTGACCCCTAGCGCGTGGCCCTGTCCGGCTCACTCGCTCACCGGCTGTGGCTCCCCAGTGCCCCGGGGAGGAGTCCAGGGCCTGGGCTGTGGCCCTGCCCTGGGCTCACCTGCAGCCCCTTCCTGCCCAGCGCCTGTGCCCCTTCTCCGGAAAGTCTCGTGTTCCTTCCGGGGTCCCCCAGACCCACTGCCTGCCCCCGCCGTAGCCATACCTTGAGCTGGGGGTGTCTGAGCCCAGCCCTCCTCCCTCCCCCGGGGGGCTCCTGGCTCTAAGCTCCCACAGGTCGGGAGGGGGCGGGGGCGGGGGGATGGCCACTCCGTTCTCCCTCCTAGTGCAGCCGTCTCCCCCCCCAGGGCCGGGTCGTCACCCCGCCAGGACTGGAGAGGGGGGCGTGAGGGGCTGGGACTCTCGGGGGAGCAGATGGGAGAAACTGATGCCAGGACATGGGCAGTGGCCCGGGAGGTGGGATTCTCCAAGCTGCAGAAACCCGGATTCTAACCCTGACCGCTGCTTTCCAGGCCCGAGGATGTGGGCGGCCTCGTAAGGACAGAAGCGCGCGCCCTCCCATGGAGCCAGGCGGGGTCCGGATGGCGCCCGTTAAAGGCCTTAGGCGTCCTGTGAGCAGGCAGCCAGCTGGGGCCTCCTGGGCCCGCCCCACTCAGCCCTGCTCCCAGGGGCCTGTCGCGACCTCAGGGACAGCGGCACCCGCCAGGAACCAGCTGGTGCCAACCGCCTAGATCCAAAGGAGATTCTGAGATCGCTTTGACGGCCAAGTGACGTCGTCTGCCAGGGGGTCTGAAGGGCACAGCCGTGCCCCAGATGATGCCACAGCGGGCGCTCCTCACCGCGGACCATGGTTTGGGCGGGCCGGGGTCTGCGGCTCGGCTCGGAGGCCCCTTGACCAGACGCACCTCCGGGCTGAGCCAACACACCGTGCTGCCCAGCGACCTTGTGTGAGGGCAGAGCTGGGAGTGACCGGCGGCCTGGGGAGGGGCCATCTTGGCTGTGGACCCCGGGCCAGATGCCTCCCTGTCGTGGGGGGTGGGTAGGTACTAAACAGCATCCCTCCACCCTCACCCCCACCGTGGCGACCACACCACACCACAGACGTCGCCGTCATCCCCTGGGGCCCGGGAGGGCAGCTCCGTCATCCCCTGGGGCCCGGGAGGGCAGCTACTCCCCTTCCAGCATCTGCTCCTTGTGGGAGGGGCAGGGGCGAGAAGGCCTGTGGACTTCCAGAAGCTTCCTGAGGGGCTACTGCTGCTATCTTGAAGTGTCATGGTTGTTTTTAAAAGGTCTTTCTCAGGGCGCCTGGGACTTTGGGCCCAGCATCGGGCTCTGTGCTGACAGCTCAGAGCCTGCTTGGGATTGTCTCCCTCTCTCTGCTCCTCCGCCACTCGCACTCTCCCAAAAACAATAAAGCCAACAGTTAAAAACTAAAAAACTAACCAAGAAAAGGTCTCCCTGGCTGTGCCGAGTGCCTCGGTTGCGATGCGCCCGCCGTGGCTCCCCAGGACGTTACCGGCAGGACTGCTGGCTGAGGGGTGGGGGGGCGCCGGTCTGCAGAGCTTCTGAAAATCTAGAAGTACTCTAAAATAAAGTGTTTATTAAAAAAACATGCAACTCCGTGAATAGGCCAATTAAGTGAAAATAAGGTATTTCCCCACACCTTAAAAAAAGTCGTTTTAGAGAAACAACCTAAAATCTTTCCGGGGCGTCCGGGTGGGCCGGCCGAGGAGCCCAGGTGGGGCTGGCCCCCCTTCCCACGGAGACGTCTCTGTAACAAAACGTTGAAAGAAACGTTCCTGGGGCGCCCCCTCCCCCACCGCTGGCAGCGTGTGACCCAGCGGCGGCCGCACCTGTCAGGCCCGCAGAAACGCGGAGGCAGCTCCGTGGTGGCCGGGAGAGGATCTCCAGGAGCACGGCTGTCCCAACGTGGGCGGGGGTGGGGGGGCACCCGGGCCAGATGGGGGGGGGCACCGCGGCTGCACGCACAGAGGCCGGGGAGGCCTGGCCCGCACCAGCACGGGGGCGGCGCCGGATGGGGGACCGGAGTGCGGGGGTGGAGGGGGGCGGGGTCCCGCAGCCGCCCTGGACTCGCGCCCCCCACGCCCCCCCCAAGGCCTGGCACCCCCAGCCCACGGCAGGGGCCGTGGGGCCAGGGCTCGGGCCTCAGTTCCCCCGACCCGTCCTGCGTGTGAGGACCCCGGGCCGGCCTGGCCTGCCTGCCTCCCGCTCTCCCAGGCGCGCTCCCCCGGGGAAGGCGGGCGTGGGCGCGGGGAGGGCCCGGGGAGAGGTGGCGGCCAGCCCGGGAGGGGCCCCGGCCGTCACCGCCGGTAGCGGTAGCGCTTGAAGTGGAACCAGAGCTGGAAGATGCCGTTGGCGAACTGGCAGCGGAAGCCGTGGCGGTGGGAGTACTCCCACTCGCGGTTGACGATCTTGAAGGCGATGTCCTCGTAGGGCGGCCCCGCGTGGAAGCGCAGGGTGGCGAAGTCCTTGTTGTCGGCGCAGGCCTCCAGGAAGTACTCGGGCGTGGAGCGCTTGTCGATGAGGTCGGGGTAGAAGATGTTGAACTTGTAGCCCTGCACGATCTTGGGCGGCGGGTTGTCGAAGTCGTAGTGCGTCTGGTTGTACTTGTTCCACTCGAAGCCCGTGTGCACGCGGTTGAAGAAGCGGGGCTTGCGCGGCCGGTACTTGTCGGCCCACAGGTAGGCCTTGCCGGTCAGCGGCATCTCCACGCTGAACTGCGCCTCGTCCTGGCCCATGCCCTCCTTGGCCCGCCGGAAGAAGATGTCCTCCGCGCTCTCGCTCGCGTCCCCTGCGGGCGGGGCGCGCGTCAGCCGCCCCTCCCGGGCCCCGACCTGGTCGCCGACAGCGGGTCCCCCTGGGCGGGGGCACCGACGGCCTGTGTCCCCGCCCCACCCTGAGACCGGAAGGGGGCGGGGGGGGGGAACCCTCTGTGTGAGTGCCCGGGCGCCCCCCCCCCCCCCAGGGGCTCGGGGACGCGCCTCCCCGCACGGCCCTCACCTGTGACCTGGAGCTGCTGCCGGGACAGCTGCAGGCGCTGCTGGTCCTCGTCGGGCTCCAGCACGTGCGCGTCCAGCGGCAGCTCGTGGGCCGTGAGCAGCCGGGGGCTGTACTTGCCCGCGTCGTAGTCGTCCAGGCTCTGCTGGATCAGGTCCTCCTCCATGAGCACAGCCTCCCCGTCCGCCTCGCCCTCCGCGGGGGCCGCCCCCTCCGCCTCCGGCTCCCCCGAGCCCCCCTCGGAGGAGGAGGGCCCGGGTGGGGTCGGGGCAGGGTCCTCAGGCTCCGGGCTGCGGAGGAGACGAGACGGGAGACGAGACGGGAGGGATGGCGTCGGGCGGGGAGGTCGCGGGGGGCGGGGCCTGAGGGGGGACCTCCTGGCGACCTACCCGTGGCCGGGCGACGGGGGCTCCTGCTTGAGGATGGGGAACAGAGGCTCGCTCTCCACACCCTGCTCCTGCTTCAGCTTGTACAGCTTCTGCCGCAGCACGTCCTGGTGCCGCTCGCGGAGCCTGCAACGTGGCCGGCGGTCACCCCCACGCCCGGGGCCCTGTGTCCCCCCCCCCCCTCCCGCCCGCCGATCTCATGACCCCCTTTCGCTCAGAGAGAGGACCTGGAGCCTGGGGGAGCAGCAGCACCGCCTCCCCCCCCCCCCCCAGGCCAGGGCTGTGGAGGGTGGGGGTGGGGAGGGGCGTCTGGGTCCGGGTTTGGGACTCAAGGCCACAGACCCTGCGGGGAGGATCGAGTCCCTGAACGGGGGATTCGGGGGACGCGGGGGCAGGGGCGGCGAGGAGAATAAACTTAGAGACGCCGCCGCAGTTAGCAGCACACACGGCCGTGTTTACACAGCGCGGCCAAACACGCTGAGAATCTGTACACGGAGGGTGTGCAGTGGGCAGAAGGCGCGCGGGTGGGGGGGGGGCGTGTACAGGGAACAGGGGG